ACGCCCCCCGCTGAGCCCCCCATCCGCCCCCTGCATCCCAACGCCCCCCGCTGAGCCCCCCATCCGCCCCCTGCAGCAGAGCGCCCCTAGTGCTGCACTGGATTGGCAGGGCCAGTGCTGGTGCGAGGGGAGAGCGCCCCCTGCTGCGGAGGGAGGGGGTTACCTGGATGAAACTGGCATTGATATAGTCCGTCTGCCCTTCGTCCGTGCAGAGATTCAGAACGACCCGGGTCTGATCATCTGCCGGGGAGAGAGGGAGGGATTGACAAATGCAGACTGGGAATAAGGCACCAATTGTGACCGATGAGAGGAATTACCCCCGGGGCCAGTTCCCCAAGGGGCGCAGCGGAGTCTCCGTCTCTGGCTGTTTGTAAATCAAGCTGGGCTGTTCTTCTCAAAGTTCTGCCCCAGGAATTATTTTGGGGCCGTTCTCTGGCCTGTGGGCAGGGCCGGCTCCAGGCACCAGCTTCTCAAGCAGGTGCTTGGGGCGGCCGCTCCGGAGAGGGGCGGCACGTCCAGGTATTCAGCGGCAATTCGGCGGACGGTCCCTCACTCCGCCTGGGAGTGAAGGACCTCCCACCAAATTGCCGCCGCAGATCGCGATCGCGGCTTTTTTTGTTTGTTTGTTTGTTTTTCGCTTTGGCTGCTTGGGGAGGCCAAATCCCTGGAGCCGGCCCTGCCTGTGGGATACAGGGGGTGAGATGAGACACTCACAATGGTCCCTTCTGGCCTGGGAATCTATGAATCTATGAAACCCGGCCCTGAGATGCGGCCACCTCTGGGGTGGGGCAGCCGGGGAAAACAGCTGCACATAACGCTGCCTGGAAATGGCTTGCCTGGAGCTGAGATGCAGTCAACTCTGAAGCAAGGCAGCTGGAGAACAGCTGTATATAACATCACAAGGGACAGCTCCTCTGGTGCTGAGATGCAGCCAGCTCTGGGGTGGGGCAGCTGGGGGAACAGCTGCACATAACGCTGCACATTTCAGTGCCAGCAACCCCCTCCCACACTCACATGGCAGGATGTCTTTATACCGATTCTTCTTGATATTTTCTTTCCTGCCCCCAGCCTCCGCGGAGAACCCCTGTTGCTGCCGGAAGGCGCTGGCTTGGGCCTTGATGTCCTGGGCGGAGAGAGAGGACAGGAGGGGGATTAGGAGGCCGTGGAGAAGACGGGGTTAAACAGGGAGAGTGAGCGAGCACCCCAGCAGCCAATAGCTCTGTGATTCCCACAGCTAATGCCCTGGCTCCCTAATACTCAAGTATACGGCACCCCATTCCCTGTGACCACAGCCCCTTTTCCCAGCTCAGACTTTCCAGCACCCCCAAACTCCAAGGGTAAGACTAGCCTGGCACTGAGATGCAGCCACCTCTGGGGCAGGGCAGCTGGAGAAACAGCTGCACATAACGCGGCACAGAGACAGCTCACATGAGGATGATCATTCCTGAGCACTGGAGTCAGGTTTATTTTGGGAACAGGCTGGTTCTGACCTTGCCAGTAGCGGACCAGCCGGTCCTGCCAGCTCTGGGCCCCAGCGTGAGCACACCCACGCCCATCCTGGAACAGGCAGGAGAAAAAAAACCCCACCCCTGCCATGGAAGTACCCTCCAGGGAGAGTTAATCTGTGCAGGAGTTGCTTCCAGAATGAGAGCCAGGACTCCTGGGTTCTCTCCCCGGCTCTGGGAGGGAGGAGAGTGGGGTCTAGGGGTTAGAGTAGGGGGGGCTGGGAGCCAGGACTCCTGGGTTCTAGCCCTGGCCCTGGGAGGGGACTGGCATCTAGTGGGTTAGAGAAGGGGGGCTGGGAGCCAGGACTCCTGGGTTCTCTCCCCAGCTCTGGGAGGGGAGTGGGGTCTAGGGGTTAGTGCATGGGGGCTGGGAGCCAGGACTCCTGGATTCTCTCCCCAGCTCTGGGAGGGGAGTGGGGTCTAGGGGTTAGTGCATGGGGGCTGGGAGCCAGGACTCCTGGATTCTCTCCCCAGCTCTGGGAGGGGAGTGGGGTCTAGGGGTTAGTGCA